GCTGAGGCTGTGGTGGATCTGCTGGGGGTCTGCACTGGTGGGCTCAGCCAGGCTCCTTCACGCCCCAGAGAGCCACCAGGATTTTTCCAAGGGCAAAAGGAAGAAGATGTAGAGCTCGCTGGCCATGGACCTCCCCGTGCCACTGCATGCTCTCATTTCAGTCCTTGCTCGTTCTGTCTGTGTAGCTCGGGAAAGGACAGTGGTTCATTTGAGCTCTGAGCAAATGGGTCACACCAGGGTCCTTCCCAGGCAGAGGCACAGCGATCCAACTGCTCCTTATGGCTGGTGTTACGGCAGGTTTCTCTAGAGCCTGTGTTGACAGTGGTGGGGTGAGGAAGCATACCTTGGTGCAGCAATGTTCAGGGGCAGGAACTTATTTTCTCCAAGTTGTTTCTGTCTTACAGACCTCTGCAAGGCCAATGGCTGTCAGATTTTCATGCTTGATGCCTAGTATTGCTTTTCTAATCCAGCTTGCCTTTTCTCCTGTGCTTTCCTTCTGGCAGCAGCTGAAGATGTCTCCAATGTTTCAACAAGCTCCATGCTCACAACTGAGTACGAAGCACCATGTCTTAGTAAGTCTTCATAAATCATTACTACCATGGTAAAGCCAGGTGATGAGACTACACAGGTGACTGAGAGGCTGTCCTGGAAAAGGATTTATCTGTTGTCAAGGCTTCCATTGCAGGTGAAATTCTAGGACGCATTTCTAAGACTCCTCCATTGGCATGCCCTGTGTATTTTAGGTACATTCAGATGGATTTTTGAATTTTTGATTTTTGCTTTGAACAGACTAATTCATAGCTAATTCAATTTGCATGTCCTAAAGCTCCCTGCCAGACTGCCTGCCTGTAGGCACGATCTGGACTCCTGCGAGCACCTCTCTGCCCCACCCACTAGGTCTTCCCCAAACAGGCAGTCCCAGGCAACCTGAGATCCCACCAGTCCTTCCGGAGTCATCCTCCGTCTGAAATGTCAAACATCCCTACAGTCCTGCACTTCCCAAAATATATTATGTGTATCAATAGCATCATAGAATCTTAGAACAGTTAGGGCTGGAAGAGACCTTTGAAGGTCATCTAGTCCAACCCCCCAACCCCCCCACCCCAATGAGCTGGGACATCTTCAACCAGATCAGGTTGCTCAGAGCCCCTGATCTTGCATGTTTATATAGAGGTATGCCTCTTCAACGCATGACATGGGTATAGACGGCAGGCATCCCTCTCCCTTCTTTAGGCACATACAAAACATGTGTCTCTTGCTGTGGGAAGAGCTGCTGCTCTCTCCAGTGCAGGACAATTGTACTGCGTGTACCGAAGGCCGTTGCACAGGAACACGGTCCTGCCTGACACACGTGAATGAGAGCAACTGAGCAGCACCCACACTTGCCTTTTCCCTGGAGGGGTGCAAGAGGCCGGCTGCCCTGCACTGAGCTCAGGAGGGATTCCCTTTTCACAGCTGACAAGCTTTGTGCCATCAGCACACAATGAATGTAGCTGCAAGGTGGCTTTGGCTGCCTCAGCTCTCCTGGGCGTCGGGGTTTCACACTCAGCTTCTCCTCCAGCCCAAGGAGTCGAGATACCACGGTCCTCCAGGCTCCCTTTGATATTTCCATGTTACCACCCAGGATGCAGACACAGAGCTGGGTATCTTCACTGTGCCCTTGTGATGGAAAAAGTATGGCAGATGCCTTTAAATAACAGCATAAATGAAACAACTAATGACATTCTTTAACTGACTATAGGAAATTGGACTGATTTAAACAACGAAAAAAAAAAGATGCAAAAGGTGCAAGAAAAAAATACCTGGAATTCTTAAAAATTATTTAATTTTTAAACATGTAAAACAGGGATCCCCCCCAACGGTAGTGTGTTTTGCAGCTGTTACACACAAGTCACAGTTAACAGCCCAGCAGAGAGCAGCCACTGCTTCTATGGCTGGGGGGGGGAACTGGGGACCGAAA